CTCAGTCCAGGACAGTTAAACAGTGAGTTTGAAAGGTACAGAAATCTGCCTGTGTCTGAGGTGGAGAGGCAGGTCTGGCTGGAAAGCTGAGACAATGGATTGGTAGAGAAGTAGAGAGATATACTTTATTGCTGCTTTAAAATTCACAGGCTAAGAAGTGACCTCACTTTTCCTGAATTATATCCTACCATCATGATGTGAAAAAGAAGAAACAGAAAATTTCTTTACAGAATTAAAATTCACATAAGAAAATTTCGCATTAGGGTTGTTTTGATTGCTGTTTACTGTTGGGCTGTGGGATCTCCCTGGCACCATGGAAAGTGTAAAAGTGAAAGCCTTCTACCATCTAGCCACTCATTTTCCGAGGGAATCCATGTGACAGTTGGGTATGTATCCTTGCAGCTTCCCCATGCGTGCAAGCACACTTGTGAGCACGTGCACACACACATACACACTCTCACACACAGGCTCGTGCACACGTGCAGGGTCATGCTACTTATACTCATCCACAGCTTGCAGCTTACATCTCAACAGTGACTTGAGGTCTTCTTTATATGCTAACAGATACAGATCTCTCTCTTATTTTTTTAATGGTCATGTGCATACCATAATAGTAATGTAGTATAATAATGATTGCTAACATTTGTCGAGCTCTTATTCTATGTCAGATATTGTACTAAACTCTTTACATACAGGTGAGCAAACCAAGATTCAGAGAGGTTAAGTAAATTGCTCAAGGTCACACAGTCAGTATGTGGCAGGACTAGGATTTAAAACAAGGCCATGTGGCACTGTGATTCTTGTCACCAATCCACTGTTAATGGATATTGGTCTCTCATTTTTCACCATGACAGATATTTCTGTAAAGAATACCTTTGTACACAGATGCTTGTGAAAATATTTCTCTTTAATATGTACCTTTTGATGTTTGAGACCCCACCTATTTTTTTTAATGATTTTAGTCCATATTGACTTGTACAAAGAAGTTACAGCCTGCCTACAGAGGGGATGATGCCTTAAGCATAGTAATGTATCATCTTGATAATGACAGTGAGTTTCAGTTCTTTTGTCATTTTATTAGACTTTTATTTATTTAACACAAGGCCTACCTGTCCTTGGCTGCATTCAGCAGTAGTTGCTCTCAGTTGCTGCTGGAGTACGTATTTTCAACTGTCAGTGTCATTCAAGGACCGGGAGAGGAAACCCTGATTATGTAACAGTTTGGGATACTCTTCAGGAGTTGAACCTCCAGAGAGCTCACCTCCAGAATACTGAAGGAATGCAGCCCCTACAGAGTGGGGTGCTGATACCTCCTGCTCTGTACCACCCTGAAAAGTGCAGTTTCATTTTTCATATTTTCCATTTGAATAGGTTTAGATTGCTAAAAAATTGAATAAAACACAAACAAACAAAAAAGCACTTGGTCTGGGAAATTTTTGTCTCTGACTGAGAAAGCAACAGAATTGTAAAGCAGATGTGTCTTTTCATCAATAGAGTGATTGATTACATCAGAGAGGGTGGAAACTGATCAATAATAAAATGATTGAGATGTGACTCTACTGTCTCCTACGAACATCTCTTAGACCTCTTTCCCTCCTCATATCCACCTGACAGATCCTTATACTAGATTGGGTGGCTGGTTGGCTGGGCAAGTGTCGTTATGGTTGTTGGATTCCAAATCCATGGGCTTCAGTCCTTCTGGGCCTGGGCTTCCATCCACACTCACCTGTTGCCTGACCTCACTCTGCCCTGTGACAGGGGCTTGTGGGATAGTGTGGATAGATCAGAAATCAGAATACACTATCCCTACCACTGGAAGATTAACTCTGAGCCCTTCCCATCACAATAGAGTTATATTTTGCACTGAAATAGAAAGACAAAGTAGAATTCTGCACCCATGTCACGAGGCTTCAAAGCCCCTCTATCTTCCCTGAACTCTACTGGTGGCAGCAAGGGCAGCAGAGGGGTCCTGCTCCTTACCCTAGTGAGGAGAGGGGATAAGAGAGAGGGTTTTCATCTGAGTTTGGAGCCATGCACCCCGTTTTTTCTTTTTCTCAGATAATCTGGTGACTACTTTGTGATAGTCATATGTCTCTGCCATTGGTGTTGAGAATAGTTGCTCATGTTAAAGCAAATGGTGTTCTCTTTAGTTTTCATTTTTGCAGTGAAATTTGCCACTGACCCAGACAAACCTGTAAAGATGTGTACTGGCAACTGTGTAAACGTGAGTCAAGTACATGCTCACACAGACCTTATAAAAAGGGGGCTCTGGGTTTCATGCTATAATGAATGTTGAAGTTTCAGATTCAAATATAAAAGGGGAAGAAAATTTTCTTTTTTTTTTCATTACAGAGTAGCATTCCTTTTAGCATATAACTTAAAGAACCTAAAAGAGAAACCATAATGCTGTGAGGAGAGTGGGAATCAGAGAGGCAGGACAGTGGTGAGCACCATGGGTTTTATAATCAGGCTTTCTGATTTCAATTCTGGTTCTGACCTAGGAAAAGTTATTTAAACCCTTGGGCTTCAGTTTCCTTATCTATAAAATGGGACTAGTACTTATAATAATAGTGTCTACTTTATAGATTGTCATAGAATTCAGTTAACACATGCAGAGCGTTCAGGATAGTATGTAGCACCATAGAAAGCCCTCAATTTAATCAATGTTAGCTACTATTATGATTGTTACTATTTAATAATCCTTATTCTTTTGTCATTCTCACAGGCTTTTTTCTTGTAACAAGTCAGGAAAGAGACAAAATCATTTAAAATAGTGGTTGAAAATTTGAACAAAAGCTAAATTTAGTGCTTATAGGAGTGGAAACAGAATTTACAGAATTTGTAGGCTTTTCACCCAAGTAGGCTAAGAATTCTCTTCATTATGTACGTTCCCACAGCTTATTAGGGAATCAGGACCACAAGAAGCCTCTCTAATGAGTTTACCCATTTCTCACTGGAAATTCTAGTTTCTGAGAACACCATTTTACCTGTGGTTCTTTTTTAAAGAAGAAAAGGGAGTCATCATAGGTTTTTGTTTGGCTGTCAGCCTCCAGATAAGCCTTATTGGACTCAGTACTCTGCTGTATTCCTGTGCAGTGGTGGTAGAAAGTAGATCTCAAATCTGTCAGGAGGATAGGATTATGTTCCAATGGATCTGGGGCGAAGACAGTGCTCTGACTGGGCAGAGAAGCTTGTGAAATCCCTTGGTCCTGGGAATTGAATACTTGTGAAAATGAGAGTAAACTGTTCTGGCAGGCCAGTAATGATTCTATAAGCAAGAAGATACAGGGTTGTATGTGTGTGAAGAGAAAAATATTTTAAAATCTTCTTTCTAATATATCTTGCATATCTTGTTAAATTTCTTTTTTCCTCAGCTTTTTTGAGGCATAATTGATTCTTCTTATATTACTTCATATTATTCTGCTCTGTAAATATTTTTTCAAGGACCTGAGTTCTATAAAAAGCCATGGTTTTATTTTTAAAACTGCTTTTTATTTTTTTTAAATATTTATTTATAAGTATTTTTTTGTTAGTACCAAGGTTCTTGGTACTGGCATTATAGGATTTGAAAAAATTAAATTATTCATTGCCTTCTTTTTTTGTGGGCATTGAAGATAGAGCCCAGATAATCTAGATGTGAATTCTTGACAACGTAACAGACACAGATGCAAGACTTAATGGAACAGGTGAGTGTCTTTATGTCAAGACCTCAGCTAAGAGAATCCTTTGTGGAAATAATAATAGCAGCCTTTTTTTTTCGTCAGTGACGTTGGATTATGAAAGGCTCTATGACCAATATTTATAAATCGAATTTAGGGAAAGCCATTGTCTACATTAAAGATACTTCCCTAAAAAGGCCTTTCTTCTCCAAT